TTGTACATTTAATAGCCAGTCATCTGTCTGTCCGTCTGTCAGTTAGTGAAAAATAAAACCAATGTAATTCCTAAAGCCGACGAGGGTCGGCGTATTGTGGACAAAAATGGAGCGACGAGAGAGTAGAGAATCTTCATACATCTCCTTGTTGCCGGTGGGATTTTGTCGGACAATTCTCACGGTGATGAAATTTTATCATCATAATTATATAAGTCCATCATTATGTGATTATAACCCGGCTCGGAGCTCGCGCGTGGAAAAATGCGACGTTTAACGGGATATTGTGTCAAAGAACGTAATTTGAGCGGGTCCATTTTTCAACCCGTTATTGATTATGCTTTAATTGAGTCATTATTATCCGTTCGTTATCGTGTCGTTTGTAACAAGACTGCATTTATTATAGCATATGTAATACACACAGCGTAGTGCGCAGAGAGGAGAGAAGACGGAAAGAAGTAATTAAAAACAATTATATAGCATATGTATTAGACAATGCTGAAAATTAATACCTTGTAGTTTCTCAAAAATTACAGAAATATTATAGTTTACTGAATAAAGAAAGTATTATCAAAAATTTTCAATTGTAATGCGCCAAAAAATTTTATACAATTTTAATTATATAATTATGATTTACTTTCATTAACGAATATAAGAAAATATCATAATTGATTAAGAGCACATATACATAATATATATGTAATATATAAATTATAAATATACGAATAAAAAATAAATGATAAGACTTCTGTAAATTTTACACAAGTGGTATAATTATTATCAGATATGTTACTCACTAAGAATACAGAATATATATAAACAAATTCACATACACCGTTTCATTTTTCTTCTGTAAAATTCTCATTGGCTGAAGAGATTGCGATAACATATGATTGTTCTTCGCTGATATATCTACTTACCGATCCGCTTTAAAAAGATGGAAAAGAAAATTAGGCCACAAAAGCGTTAAAGATATTTCCCCGGAGACACCAAGTAACGAGCGACATATTAAGACGCAGCTTTAGCTTGCAAGATGCGATGCGAAATAGGGTCGCGATTGTCTTGCATCTCCGACTGTGCCGTGCGCGCGTGATGCACATACATATGGTGATTAGTAACAAAGAAAACATCGAATACGTGTGTGATACATGTATCATAATTTTCAAACATCTTGCGAAGAATGAGACTTGTAAGATTTTTGTACTTAAAATTTGAATATTCAGTAATTAGAGAAGATATATATGTTATGTGTTTTTACGAAATGCCGTATACAGTAATTAATAAAACATAAAACAAGATAAATAATTTTCTAAAGTTATACAATAAGGCTAATATAGATACACATTTTAAGAGTATATATATTATATAAATCCAAATTTTTTCTATTAAAAAAATAAATTAATTCTGAAATAGATGTTATATATGTGTATTTTAATAGATATTATATGTGTATTGTACATATACATAAAATTCTCATTTTTAGTGATCATCTTAAAATTATTTTCTAACATACCTGTCAAATTATCATAACATATGCGCGCTAATATTCTACGTCGACAGAATCAAAAAACATTTTTTTTCGCTTATGTAATTTTACATTTAATCTTTAATAAATTGATATTACACTTGCTACCGAAGATTGATACTAAAATTCGCCGGCAAAGCACTTGCATTTTCTCGCTGAAACCACCCTGTATGTACAGCGGCGCTTCTTACTTCTTATATCTTGATAGACGAGCGCATTGATTGCACGAAAGCGCTGAGCATCGACCAACCAACCTAAATCTGCCTCAGTACGTCCGAGCACGCGAACCCTTCAGCCTTCTGTCCGGACAGACACCCTTCCTTCCCGTATTATCTAAACAACAACCACTCCGTCTCCCCACTTCTCGGATATAACCCCAAGTGAATTCGCTCTGTTTGCGGTTTTCGAGGTCCCGCTGCACATCCGGAAGAGTGCTTAGAGATTCAGGATTTCTAACTTGCAAACTGACGAAACTTTTAAGCTTTTATTATATCAAGCTATCAAAGGGTCGAGCTAATAATTTTTTTCTTAGAAATACTTTTCATGATTTTGTTTCAATTACGCTTAGCAGTGGGATTAAACAAACTTGTGAAGAATAAGAAATATACATATAAATATATATATAAAATATACCAGACTATTACGCATTTATAATTATTTTGCAAAACTAGTTATATGTTTATGTCGAATGTTTCAATTAAATTCTCTAACAAATACGACTTACTAAATTTTCAAGTGACAAATGTGTCTATACTCTGTCTAACGAGAGATCATGGTTGATCAAACATAAATAACGATAGGACACAGAGTCGTAACAAGGTGTTCGTGTAAAATTATTTTTATTTTTAATAGATATTGTCCAACACTATTAAAAATAAAAATAATTTAAAAATGGATGTCGCTTATGTCAAAATAACAGGATAAAGCTGAAATTTCCAGAGATTGTGCACTTATATATCCCAAAAACCTATGTCAAATTTGCGATCGATTGTCCGACCCGTTTCTGAGATATTTGCTTTAAAAGTTACAGAAATTGTATATATATATAGATATCTCGATAGATATACTTCCTATGTAAATATCATAATATGTATCTCTGCTCATGTACGGTAAAAATGAATGAAATTTTTATGGTACACTTCTATGACATCGAGAATTGCAATTACGGTTTTTTAAGATTTCCTGGTTATATTTTTGTTTCAATTTTTTAATGATTTATTTAAACAATATCAAGTACAAAAATGGGACAAAATTGCGATTTTTATGCTTTTTCTGTCCCAATGATATCATGTTGTTTATGAATAATTTCTGAGATTATTTCTACACTGTTTAATCAAGAAAACAAAATTATATTATATATAGCTATCTGGCATACATCTTTAACGCGAACACCCTGTGCGGCTCTGTGCCCTGTCGTTATTTATGTTTGATCAACCATGATCTCTCGTTGGACGAAATATACGTATGTACCATTTTCTATATAAGTACGCATAAAAAATTCTTACCTACTCATAGAGAGCTTTTTCACGTCGAGAGAAACTTTCTCGCGGAACACACTGACAGACGAGATTAAATGGCTAGTGCGTGTTAATTGCTTGTGGAAAAATTTTCGTGTATGATGATGTTCGCTCGTAGTGCGATTATCGCAGTTGTGCGCTACGATAACAACGCTCGATGGTACGTTGTGCAAGGTAATTATATCAGAAATTGGGTAGGCCGGCTTTTAATGGCTTTTGCAGGAAAGCTCTCGGGAGAACCTCGAGAAAAAAATATGATAATATGAGAGGTACAGGAAGAGAAAGAGAGAGAGGAAGAAAGAGAGAGAGAGAGAGAGAGAGAGAGAGAGAGAGAGAGAAAGAGAGACAGAAAGAGAGCTAGTATAGGTATTCTTCATTAAATCTCGTTGTTGAACTTATCGATTAATGCTTTACTACCTGAATTTTTATTGCAAATCAATACTTTTTAACTGCATTATATTTTTAAATTTATTACAATTAAATAAATCAAGGATTAAAACGATGTAAACAAATTATTCGATAATTTTGAAGTTATATTTTATTCTTTTCTCAAACTCTGCGCGACGTGGCGCACCTAATTTAAATCAAATATTTTCACTTTAACGAAAAATTTACATAAAATTTTTCGCTGATTTAACGTAATAAAATCACTTTATAATTTCAAATACAGAATTTATTTTTAATAAATTAAAAAATAATTCACTATATTTCTACTAATATTATGATTAATAAATTATTTATATCGATATATATTTTTAACACTCTCACTGCCACGTGTATCATTTACGATACACCTAAAACCTAACCACGCAGACCAGGTGTATCGTAAATGATACACCGAGTAATCAGGTCAATGAGCTGTAAAAAAAAAACAGAAAAGCATAAATACTGTAAGAATCGGCAATAAAATACAGCACCTGGTAAAAAAGCAACCTTGGTCTGAGGGCGTAATTTTTTTTATTCCGCTTGGCAGTGAAAGTGTTAATATTGCTTAATAAATAATTACAATTCTTTATATTAATATTAAAATTAATTCGTTTATATTTCCGTTATAATTGTATAATCGCCAACATTCATTAATTAATATTCTAAATAAGCGGGACTTAAAAATTCAAATCAAGCCATAAAAGATAAAATACAAAAAAAAAATCAAATTGTAGGTATGCTTTGAAAATTAAATAAAACCATAAAATGTAATGATTTTAATCATAAAATATAATGATTGAATTGCTCGTTCTTTCTTTTAACTTTATAATTTTTGAAATTAAAATCACTAAAGTAGAAAAAAGAAAAAAGAAAGAATTAATTACAAAAAAAAAAGAGAAATTAATTACACAAATTAATAATCTAATATGAGCTTCCGTTTAATTTCGAGTAATCAATAATCAATTTGATTTCGCCAAATTGCAGAACAAATGAGGTCGTTACGAATACACATGACTAATTAAAGGTTGAAAGTTATGTGTGTAACTGAATCTCATTAACACGACAATGGATTTCTATAGAAAAATACTTATAACATTGCATATCATGTTAGAAGAACCATTAATATGTTAATATTATCGTTAGAACGGCATGTCCGGCGCGAATCTAGTTTATATTTTGCAGTGGTAATTATATATATAAACAACGTTGTTCCCATCGAATTTGAATTATAATTTACCAATTCAACGCGTGCGATAGAAACGTATAATACGTTAATACTCATGCTTCACACTTCACCGATAAATCTACGTTATATCTACAGAGCGGGAAAATTTAATGCATAATTACAGATATAATAATTATTCCATAAAAGACTGTGATATTTCATCCAACATAGGTTTTTTTCTTAAATCTATTTTCATATAAGATACATTTAAACTTATTGAAAGATCCTTATTTGACTGAACTATAACTAAAATAATAAACTGCTCAAAAAATTAGCATTACGACATAATTTGGCTATTTTTGTGTTTCAGGCACTTCGATACGACAGCAAACGAAAAGTTGGCGAGCCGAACATAAAGCTGCGAGAACACTCGGTATAATTATGGGGGCGTTTCTTCTCTGTTGGTTACCGTTCTTCCTCTGGTAAGTATCAATTTTGAAAAAAATTCAATAACATTTATGGAAATTTTTACGGAATCTTTATCGAGAATCAGAAGATTTTTAAATAATTTTATTCAAATTTTATTTTATTAAATTAAGAGACGTTTCTCGATAAAAAAAGAAGAAAAGATCAATATTCAAATCAAGTAAAAAAAAAGAGGAACAAGTTTTTGATTTAGTTGTTTGTTTTAAATCTCATTAATCTAAAGAAAAAAAATGGAATTAATTCAATTTAAATATTCCTAAATTAAAAATTTTTAAGTATTGGTCTCCTAATATCAAGTTAATAGTAAATCTGAAGTGTCTATTTTAATCTTTTCAAATACATATATTAAAAAGTAATAAGATTTTTATGAAAAATTTATTTAATATTTTAAACTTTCCAATTGTGTATATACTGAATAAACAGATCTCTAATGATGCCTCGAATTCCTTTAAAAGAAAGAACGCAGCGAAGCGCAAAATCTCATCGAACAAAATAGTTTTAGTGGAGATTTTCACTTGGCGACTTTGCTTCGTAGAAATGTTGCTGTAGGATTTTTCGAATTAACGTCAAGAAAAAGAGACAAAAAGAAAAAGAGAGATAGCGAGAGAAGGAAGAAGACAGAGAGAGAGAGGGGGAGAGGGAGAGGGAGAGAGAGACAGCTTTGCTGATGCCGAATGTTCAAAGTTAGCGGAGGAAGAGACAGTCTCGTCTGCCCCATGTTTTATTAATGCAAGCTCGGAAAGTGCATCTCTATGGAGTTTGCCGAGGGCTTACCCTACTCTCTCCGCAAGCTTGCTCGCAGTTTGACTATTTGCTTGACTAAGCGTCGCGACCGTAGCGGAATATGAAGATCTCTCTTAGGGAGACTCGAGAGACGGAAAAAAATCCTTAGCTTGTCTCGGAGCGTTTCTGCTTTAAAATTCAAAATAGATAATGCAAAAATACAGGAGACAGACACCGCGCGGTCTGTGCGAATAGATTGAATAGGTGTCTCGGAGGCTTGTTTGCCTGAGGTGCAAACCCCTTTAGGCATGCAATGATTATACTTGATGTGGTCACTTACCACTTAGATGAGTTTAGTCCCCAGACTTCGCAGTAAAATAATTTAGGATCACTTGGAAACAAGAATAAAAGATATATTAGTTTAAAATAGAATAAGTAAAAGTACTTTAAATTTAAGTGACTACGGAAAATTCGTCGTTTATAGACTAGCTTCTCAGAATTACCTACCATTAAAATTAGATCAGATTGATAAGATTTAATGAATTTTATAGATAGCCAGATGGTTATAAAATTATATTTTACGATAAAATTAGCAAAATTATATAAATAATTCTACCTCTGTACAATTGCATATAAAATCTCATTTTATTTTATTGTTTTAATACTACCCATTACAATGGTTCTCGTTAAATGCGTAATATTAGCCTGGCAATAGAATTCTGCACGAAAATTTCGTTAAACAGCGAATGACGAATAAATATTCCGAATAAAGTTCCGCCGGAAAATGAGCTCTCTATGGAAATAGAGCGAAGCAATGCAGAGATATGTGGACGTATACGACGGAACATCCTCGATTTTGCAACTCGGTTTTTATTCATGCAAATGCACAAAGCGCATCACTCTACTGACCTAAAAGCTCGCGTTAGTTTCGAAGTTCGGCCATTTTTCGAATCGCGTTATCGACTTTTGTACGTGATCGGCTCTCTCTTAACGCATGAATAATTTGACGTTATTCCTTTTTCAGAAAATGTCCGAATATGTTGATTAGTAGGTCCTCTTTAATTCCCCTTTTCACATTTATGATTATTTAAATTCTTTTGTATCGAATCTCGTTAATCTGCTAATATTTGTACATCTTTATTTTATTGAGTGCCCGATATATACTTATTGTTTTTTTTCCTACACGTGACATGTGTTTCGCGTGGCGTACAACATAGAAATAACAATAGAGATATATTGGAAAACAATACGGGGCGGGATAAATCCGTAGGAGCGGATATATAGTTGTATAAAAGAGATCAACTGCGGTTTGAAAGTCCAATTTGTTTGATTGATGTCGGTGGCTTTATAATTTTCGTCAAACGGAGATAACTGTAACCACAAAGCCACGTCGATCCATTTAATATGGCGCTATTTCGGTATCGCGATCGATGCTTCGTGCATTAATGATATGATTATGTGATTGAAAATATGCTCGCATTACATTCTTACCATGATTTCGATTTATGTATTAGAATATCCAGCTAATCAGGCAATGACGTAACATAAACTTTCTGATATACGTGGAATTAATTTTTTCTTAGAGAAAAGCGCGTAAAACATTCGTTATATAAAATAATTTTAAATGTATTTATTATTTTCTGTTTGTATTTCATTAATTTAATTGTAAAATAAATTGGAAACAACTACATTGAAATATACAAGCACCATTCTTCTCAATTTAGACCGGTAACTGACGTGATAACTCCGGGAGTTGCCGGAATAATTAGAACAGTTTCTGTTTAGAGCTATACCTCCGGACATCTGCCTCGTTAAACAAAACTCTCAGAATTTATGCTGTATTTTTGCGAGCGTAATAACGTCTGTAAATCGCAGGAAATTTCAAATTTTGTTGCAAAATTATGAGCGCCGCGCGTGCTGAATTCCAAACATGAATCTTATTTTCACGTCGATTTTATTCACCCACGTAGAAAAGGCAATATTGAAATATTGATTTGAAATCTGCGCATAATGCAGCAGACGCATTTATATGCAAAATACTCAACGCAGATCCTTGTAGAAAAATACACGAGGCGCGCGTAGAGAAAACTCGTTTTCCCCGGATGTAGTTTTGGCATGAAACAAATCCCATAAATATCTGGATGTTATATGTATCTATATTCGCATTTTCAAGATATGCGGCCTCTTGACCTTATTCCCTACAGATTTACAGTCCTCTTACCGTCTCGATTATTAATGTTACCACGGTATTCCCAAAACGCTTTCTTCTTTGTGAGAAAATCGTCTTTAACGATTTACGTTATTGTGTTATTGCGTGTATAGTATTATGTTTCTTAGGTGAAAGTAAAGGACTGATGCCTTTTTGTGTAACAGATCAATGAAAGAATAGAGATAGAATGAATAGAGATAATATGAATCATCTATATTAATCTTCTTTTATAAAACTTACAAAACTAAAACTTACTCATTTCATCTATATTTTTCAGATAAATTATTCGTATTATACAGTATTTTAAGAAATGTGTTAAATTACATTCTGATTTCTTAAAATATAATTCTAAATTTAATTTTCTAAAATATGAATGTGTAAGACAAATCGGAAATAATTTTTTTTCGTAACTTTATAATAGTTAGTGTTAAAAAATAAATTTAACAACTAACTTCCTCGATTAGCTTCAAATGTAGAAAAAAGTGAGTTTTTTTGTTTATTATTCTTCAGGTATCTGACGACGTCATTGTGCGGCGAGGCCTGTTATACCCCGGATACGGTGGTATCGGTGCTTTTCTGGATAGGTTACTTCAACAGCGCCCTGAACCCGCTCATCTATGCGTACTTCAACCGCGATTTCCGTGACGCCTTCAAGGATACCCTAAAGAGCGCCTTGCCCTGCTGCGCCGGACACTGCTGGAAGACACCCTCGCAATTCGTGTAGTTCGACACAACTCCGAAAAATCCGCCCTCGAAAGGCGAGTTCAAAGTCCTTTTTTTTTCTCTCCAACCAAAATCTCCAGCCAAAACGAAATCGAGCCGCTTTGTTCCAGCGATTTATGGACGTCAATCGACGCTGTTCGCAATTAACCCTTATTGCTCGGATATATTTACTTCGCACGTCACTTATTCGCAATTTCGTGCGTGTAGCACACGGTGTTAATCATTACATTGATTGTCAATCATCATATAATACGCACCTTGTAGATTCTTCCCATCTGACCAACATGTATAACAATTTCTGTTTTAATGAGATATGTTACATATAAATTGTATCTTTTAAATAATATTTATATAATTGTAACAAAAAAGCAATAAATTATGCAACGAATTACGAACAGGATTTGAAATTTTCAATCTGTAAAATTATCTTAAAACAGTTGTTTTGAAATATTTATTTGAGAGATTATGACTTGAAATTTTTAACTTTATGACTTACTGGAACTTTTATGTCTCCGTAATTAAATTAAAAAAATAAGAATATTAAATATGTTACTTCTAAACTAGAATTGCACATATTAAGATGGAATAAAAATTTGTATTAAATCTAAAGGGTTAATCGCGAATTAGCGGTCTTTGAAGTGTGAGTTCCTATCAAATACTACCATAGTCATCGTTCGAGCGACGATCGACTGCGCGTAATTGCCTTCCACGTAATCGCATCCCAAAATACATCCAGTAATGTGTAATCCATATGTGCTATCATATCGCCTCGAGAGGCACGCGACAAACGCTTTCGAGAGATTCAAGATCAAAATTAATGCTTTCCAAGAGCGGAGTCATTAAAACGGGTATTAGCGAATATAATCGATGCTATTACTGAACGATTATCATCGATATGCTTCGATCTACGTGACGATTGTGAGGCTGAAAACCTGGAATCTTCTTTCGGCGTCGACGACGAAAAGGAATCCACCGAATATCATATATAATTTAAAAAATTTTTAGAAAATTTACAACAGCGGTTATTAATTTGCGAATATTTGCAGAAAATTAACGAAAGAGAAAAAGTGTTCTATATATGGAAGTTTTCTGAATATATGCTAATAATTTTCTCTATTTGAAAGCAAGATATTTGCGTAAGCCATTAAACAGTCAACGTTCGCGCAAGGAGAGCGACGCCGGAAGTTTACACGGAATGCGGATATATAGTATAGTACGTGCAAGACACGAGGGGATGAAAGAGGAGTTAATCTGTGTTTACTCTGTACATACGTCGAGACGGTCGGCTAGCGCTAATTAGATGTAATTATTAGCGCACACCGGCATACGCGAGGCTGTATCATATATATAACACAAGATACTTATTAACGTTACGCGAGGCCGTATGTAACATTATCGTAATCACGAAACAATAACGCCGCGATGGATCAACACGCAGGATAAGAAGACACCCATCGCGTGCGCCATTTTGCCTGTATAAATGTACCATAATAGCAATAACCAGAGGCGGATTGTAAATATTATAATAACGGAAGCGTGAGTGGCTCGTTGTTTTTGTAAGTATAATAATAAATATAACATGTATTGGCATCGAGTTCTGTGTGTTTTACGTGTTGCTTGCGTGTACATGATAGGAAATTTGAGCCGAGAATACACCGTAGGGTGACATAATTAAATAGTCAACTCATATATACTTTTATTTCTTCGAATAATAAGATTGAATTTTTTATTCGAGTCAAGGGACATAGAGAGGACTTTACTAAATTTTATTAATATAATTCGTTTTATATTATTAGCGCATGTTTATTCTTCAAAGAAGTAAAGATATATATTTAGATAGAAGATAGATTATTTATGTCATCCTAGTATATATGTATCTGTAGAGGTATTCCGTATTTTGTTCGAGTACTCTCTTTCAGTATCTTCCAATCATGGGGAAAATATCGCTTGCAATAATTACAGCAACAAATATTGATGTAACTCTGTATACTTCTGGTAATCGAAAATCGTAGTATCTTTCTTGACCCATATTCTATAAAGTGAAAATAAAGAGAACACACGTAAAATAATAAATGAGTAAAAGGCTTGATTTTTATAAAATCGAAATATAACGAACTGGAGACCAATTATATTGAAAATAACAATTTCAGTTAACGGACTAAAGAACAAAAAAAAAAAAAGAACAAAAACGTTACGGTTTATATTTAGAAGTTGTTATTTTTCATGACGGCTCATGCACCTTTAGTTCGATATATTTCAACTTTATTATTTTATTATATACAGTTTGACTGCGCGCGATATTATTTTCAATAAGACACCGACAAATGCAATGTCGCAATGTTAACGCAGTACGGAATACCTTTTCTGCATCAATGTGACGGCCCACTTAATCGACCGTCTCTACCTGCTTCTGGATAATCATTCCAGAGAGAGAGAAAGAGAGAGTAAATGAGTGACAGAGTGAATAAAAGAGAGAGAGAGAGAGAGAGAGAGAGAAAGGGAGACACGTGCGCAGTTACGCGGACCGTCCGAGTAAAGACACTAATTAGCGTAATTCCCCAGTAGGCACGGCTTTTCCGTGTATCCTGGAATTTCTGACAAATCATCTTTTTTACGTTTCCTTAATGAAACTCGCCGTACACGGAAATCAAGTTGCTCTGCAATAGCTTTAAATCGCAGACCCTTTGAATTCGCCATCGAATTCGCCTCCGTCGTTCGTAAATATGTGAGTTCGCCAAAGTTAAAGAAAAAACTCGACGAGAACACGTTAGAGACCGTCAGGATGCAACGATGTAGCGAAAGATCACCGAAAGACTATTACAACTAGGATACAGAAATTTAAATAAAATGCGGAGATTAAAATACTTGCTCGGATTTGTGAAGGAATTTACGAATTATGAGATAGATAAAAAGATGGTTTTAAATTGCTCTTTGTTGGAGACATCGTCCTTTTTGCAATCCTCTGAAACGGAATCTGACGAATCCAGAACTGAATACGCTGCAAAAGACGCGCCGCACAGATCTTCTTTTTCATTTTGAACGAAATGTTCGTTCGTGCAGAAAGAATTTTACAGATCTCACAGCTTATACGAGAAGGAAAAACAGAATTCTAAAAGAAAGATTAAATCGTCGGAGGGATTATATGTTGCACATATATCATTATTTTTTTTACGATTCTTTTTCTTTTTACGTACTTTACAATGTTCCAAGTTTTGACAAAATTTGTCAAAGTATATTGAATCGGTGTCTCGCGTATCTTTTCGCAGCTTGGTTTCGTTCGGACACCGCTTTTACGGCCGATTCAGTAAAATTATCGAGCAGCATCTCGATGTACCTCGAATTGTTAATTAATCCTATATCCGTTACAGTCAGTCGCGATAATAACGAGACATGTTCCGAGCGCTGAACATATGCAGATATCGGACTAAACTGTGCGCGTACGTCGTCATTGTAGAGTTGATAAAAAAAAAGGAATTATGTTGCAGAGAGGCAATTAGGGATGTCAATAATATCGCCGCGAGCGCACTTTTGTTCCAGATCGTCGATTATATGGAACGGTTTTTAATTGACTTATTCATTCGGCGGCGTTTTTCCTCCACGAATATGAAACCATGTCGGAAACGTAATCGTTAGACATGCGAGGAAAGGAAAGAAAAAAAAACAAAAATTGACAACTTCGGAAATTAAAAAGTTGCCGTTAACAGGAGATCAACAAGTTCTTGCACTAACATTAAATAAAGATAAATAATGTTTGTTGGTATAATTGGTCATTATTATAACACAACTAATTAATAGTAAGAAGACGAATTTTAACTTTAAGTCAGACTAAGAATATATTTTTAATTTGCGTACTGACGTCCCTAATTGTGATAACAATTTCTTTAATTTAAACGGTCTATGTAATATTGACCTCTATTATGGCAACTAAAAAGCAAATTATGATACGCATCCAAATACGAACTTGAGGCAAGTGTGGCGGGTTCTTCTGACAAAAGTGTTCCTTTCTCGACACATCGACACGAGTATTATTTTTCTATGTATATGTTGTGATTAATTGTTGTTGTCGAGGCGTTTAAATACACATTTCATCGGGCTTCCTTTCAAGTAAGTTTTGGCTGGTCGTAATGTACAAAAAAAGAAAACAAGAAAAGAAACATACCAAATGGAAATATCAAAATAGCAAAATAATTTTGTAAAAATATCAAAGCACAGTACTAAAAAATAAGGTATCAAAAATTTAACATTTATTATTTGCTAAGTTAAATCTGCCATTCATAAAAAAAAATAATATATAGAAAAAGATAAGTCGAGTAATAGTTCAACCTTTATTGGATCGTTCTTCCTTTCGACATAAAGTAACTTGACGTTGATTAACGAAAGAATTCTCGATTAATCATTTCCAGAGATAAAACATTTCCAGATATGTTCTTTTATCAGCGATATTATGCCATAGAATATAAGATAGAGCGACGACATTTCGACCAGCGAAATACTCAATTGGTATATACCGCTTGTTCGTGCGAACGCGCAAATGTTGTATCCGACAATCCCGAGATGACGTGAACAAAATTTCATCCCATTGAAGAAACAACGGTTTAACTTAAGTCACGCTGTACACAGGGCCTAATAAACAAAGCGTAGCGTTTAAAAGAGAGATTCTAGCGACTCACTGCAAATGGCAATTATAAGGCGGTTATAGACGTTTAAAAAGTGTCTAGCGGCAGATCAGACACACGCAGCAAGTGCGAATGTAAGACCGCACGATGAAAGGACTGATATGTAGATATCAATGTAAATTGCGAGAACAACAAGAACAAGAAATGGGAACGAGAGTGTGAGAGAAAGACAGCGGCTATAATAAGTGAATTGAGTCGGGGTAAAATTGACTCGACTGAAACTTTTTGCGCTATCTATCGCTTTTAGTATGTATAATATATTTAATAATTAATCTGACGTACTTATATAAGTTTTTAAAGTACGTACCTGTATTTTTATTTTTCTGCAAAATTTATATTCTTCATTTTTCCTATATAAAAGACAGTTTTCTATAATATTTTTCAGAAAAGTATAGTTTTCTATCAAAACTATACGGACTGAAAGTAAACATTTATCCTTTCCGTCTATAGCATGTAATTTTGCGAGTCAATTTTATTCGATTCGATGATAACTAATTGGAGAGAATGAGAGAAAATGAGAGAGAATGAGAGAGAGAGGGAGAGAGAGAAAAAGAGAAGGAAAAAGAGGAGAAAATAAAAGATATTATATTACGAAAGGCACGACATAAAATCCTTGTCATTCGTTCTTCAATCTATCTTGTGACATTTCCCGTGTCAATATTTTATGAGTCTCTGCATTTTATGCGGCGAATTAATTTAGAGCGACGACATTGTCGCGATGGTCGGGATTGTTTGCGGTTAACCGAGGGTGGAAAACAGCATGATTGATCGATAGTCTAATAGACTGTAACGATCAAGAGATATTCCACGTTTCCTTTTTCGGTATTTTTCATTAAATCCTCAATATTGAAAATTATTATTATTATCGTTATTATTATCATTGTTTTCGCTAATAATATTTGCTTCAAATTATCAATATTACATTCTGATATGTTTGTAACTTGCTTCTATCGTTATAAAATGTTTTCTCCCGCCAATAAATAAATAAATGAAAACAAAATAAATAAAAAAAGCAAAAGTAATGTAGAAATGCAGCGAATGAACAACGGATAAAAATAATAAATCTAAAAATGTAGCAATCTAGAAAAGTTCATCTCTTTCCGCAACGATGTTCAAAGAACTAAACGAATCTACTGATAATGAGAATAATTTCGTACAATATTATTCGCAACTCGTGATTTTATTTCCGCTCAACTTGCATGTAGAGAGACACGGAAAAGAGAGAGGAAAGTATTTTATAATTCCACCACAATTTCTTTTAATATATGCATTTATATTTATTTCTCTCGTATTTCATTTCATATACCTGATTTATTTCCTGATATCTAATTCCTTCGCAAATTTTACACAGACAAATTATATTTTACGGATTTTACCTACGCAGGATAGATATATCTGATAATAAAATTGATGAAATAAGGATTATCATAACATCGAAAATTTATTAAAATTTCATGAATATTCATTTCATTGTATCCTAATCATGCATAAAATCAAGGTAGAAAAGCAAATAGAACAAATAACAATCTTTCTTTTGTTTATTGAGAATTCGTTTCACTCGGCAAATATGAATAGTAATATTCCGCTATTAAATTATACACATTCACTGTTACATTTCTTTCATTATTATATGCAGTTATAATATTTTCTTTTGCGGATACACATTATTAGATTCACGCTGGCCGGTATCAAATCCCGTGCTGAATTTCATCTCATGGGAATAACAATTGCATCTGGTAAAATCGTGATCAACGATGACGAATTGCGTATAAAGCAACTGACAGACAGCGCCCGTTAAAGAAAATGGTGCGCAAAAATGGGAGGCGAGAGACGCGATTTCACCAGAGTAACCACCAATACTTGTGTCGTTTCGCGTCGACAGACGTGTCTGACAGCCGAGAAAAGACGTCCCCTTATTCCTCTGCTTTGTATTCGACCCTTGTCGCCAAGTCACGGGATATACACGTACATATATTGCACGTAGGAATTACGAAAGAATAAGAAAAATATTTTTCCCGCTGCCTTAAGAGCAACTAAGAAAAGGCATTCCCATAAGCCGACCCTTGTCTGTCTTCCCACGTGAAATTTTCCACATGTGCACAGAAAAATATTTTGCAATTTCTACATAAATGTAAAAAAATATTTTCTTTATTTCTATATTTTGTTAATATTTTATGGATTAATTTAAAATTTAGATTTCATATCGTTAATTTTATAGATTAATTTAAAATTTAGATTTGAAAGGAGAACGTCAAGAAAATATATGTATTTCTATGAAAAGTTTTGTCAGTGAAAAATAAGGATCAGCAGCGAGGAAAAAATATACCGAAAAATGTAGAGAGAAAAATATAGATAAAAAAAATATAAAGAAAAAACAGAGACAAATTTACAGAAAAAAATGTATAAAAATGAAGTAAAGAAAAATGTAAAGAAAAATATTTAGAAAAAATAGAAATAAAGAACATAAAGATAAAAAGCATTTAAAAAATGTACAGAAATATACACGCAAAAATATTCGAAATCGACAATGAAGCATATTTAACATATTTAACATAAGTATAGTAAAATTAACGTTAAGTTACATTTAAGTAAGAAACCAAAACAGATATAATTAATTAATCAGATTAAGATGACGTTATACTTCTATAAAATAAAATTGTACTTTTATAAAATAACAGAATTTTGTTAAAAGTGTAGCCACAAACTGAAATTGATGCTCGCGTTCTTTTATACATTGTAAGTTATTTCTCGGTTACGATAAAAATTTTCCTATAACATATTAATAGCTTTTCTCTTTTTCCTCTTGTTTTCCGTTTTTATTAATCTCGTTTAAACTCGTTACACAACCGTTGCATGCCGTGGGCTTTTACGGTAATTCGCAGTCATATCATATCGAGGAATCGCGTATAATTTTGCCTTACAAATCGGAGATAAAACAGCAACTTTATTTACCACGTGAACTACAGGAGTACGATTCTGCGTTACATCAGACTGATTGCTCTCCCGGAAGCACGCCACAATCTTTCCGTAACAAATCTTACTAAGGTAACGAACAATGAAGCGGGATATCCATTGTCGTAAGAAAGAGAAGGAAGAAAATGAAAGAGCAGAGTTTATCACGCGCTTCGGATGTTGCGACGTGCATTCTACTTACAAGAAATCCTATGTTCTCTTTCTTCTATAGAATTTTATTTTTTCTTTATTCAATGCAACGTAAAATGTATGCAACGCAGCACTCGAGAATGAACATTTGAGAAATGACAGTTTCCGCGTGATAAATACTTGGCAAGAAAAAATTATTAGCCTTACAAGTGATTGTATGCGTACGAGCGCAATGTAACAAAATAAAATCAATAGCATAACATCGAAAGATTTAAAATACTAACTCAAATTCTCTTTAAATTATTTTTAAATTCTTAATAAAATAAAACAATCTCCCACAAATATGTAATATAAGTATAGTCATCAATTATTGTACACACAATAATCTCTTATAATTTTTTATTCTTATCTAATAATTTATATTTTTATTGTTCCTTTAATTTACAATCTCTTTCTTACATGTGTTAATCTTTACTTATTATTTTTTTTAATATCAAGATAGAATTCTTAAATTAATATTGGCACTAAAAAAGCAGTCTGTTTTTTTTACGCACTACTCAGTATATTGCGGTAGCCGTAAATATACCGTAGAGACAATGCCGTAAAGACAATAGTAAAATGTGCAGTACACTTTACAACTCTGTTGAACATCCCCCGTTCTTATCCTCCGCCCCAATAAAACATTTCTATAAACCACAATGTTTTCTATCTCCATTTAGAAATGTCTAAAGCGTAACGCGCGGGTGTAATCATGCTTATGGCGAAGGAGAACATGATGCATCGCAAACGATATGATGTTGCTGTTGTGCGCAACGTGGAACTCCCTTAATGAAATACACTTCGATACGATGCAGATAATAATTCACGTAAGTAACTTGAAAGCCTCGACAAATGGAAAAGTGAATTTTTAATGATAAAATAACTTCATAACTATTATATCAGTTAATTTTATTTATTTTAATTTTCTGACAAGTATAATATTAAACGGACAGTTATTATTTTTGTTTCTTGATAAGTGCTAAAAATACTCGTTAAATATTTATACATACATAGATATGAAAATTAAAACCTTTTTACAAGAAAAAATTTATAACAGAAAGTTTAGTAACTTTGGAACTTGATTGCCACTTGACAATATATTGCAATTAGAACAGAAAAATATTGCTCTCGTGTGAGAGAAAAATATTGCAAAAACTTACAGCAGAATATTAACGTGCAATAATGGTCACTAAAATTACTTTCCATCATATCAAAATTCTTCTTTATTATTCTACAACTGTTATTGATATTGGTGACATTCATGCCTCCATTCTGATATACGTATCGATCTTTAAGAGAATGGGCCAAAACGACGATAAAAAAGCAAGCAGGTTGGAAGATATCTTTTAAAGTATTATTGCTCTTTTCACATGGAAAGATTCTCAAAATATGCCTTCAGTTTTGTA